CCCCAGCCAGCCTTGCTGGCTGGGGAATTCTGGAAGTTGAAATCTGCTCTATTACCTCACCCCACTTTGAAGGCTTCTTTTTTTCTTTTTACCATGCTATGGCCTCAGATACCTACAGGGAGAAGTTTGCCTTAAAAACACAGAGTAATCTGAGTTTTAGGGGATGGGCATTCTAAGTAGCCCATTTTGCTCTTTTGCCTTTGTATGCGTCGGTGAGTTTCTAAAGCCTATTCATCTACAAAATGGGAATGCTAATTATGTGGTAATCATTTGCCAAAGACTGTGAATCTGATTAAATATTTGAACTAACTCCTCAAAATGTTCAAAAAATAAGTGCATTATTGAATAAACCTGTTATGTACATGTTGTACTTTTGTGAAAAGCTCTCACATTCCAGCATCAGTCCATACACCTGCACATACAGATGTGACTGTGAGAAGAGGGTGCCTGCTAATGGGAAATATCCAAATGCATATGGCTTGCGCACAAAAGCTGATTAAGTTTGGTTTCCTGTAAAAAGGATCATATTATCCCCAAGATGATTTGATAAAGAGCTGCTTGCTGATAGTGTAGATTATTTCAAGCCAGATGGATGAATAATCTGACCCAGTAGAAGGCAATTTCTTATCTACTTCTGATATGCACATTTCTTCAACCTTAAGACGTCCAGGGTTGGTGTGTTCTTTGATAATGTTATCATTATTATCATCATCAACAGCAGCAACAATAAACCGGTTGGCTTTTAGGGTTTTTCCAGACTCCAATACGAATACTTGAGAATTATAAAAGCACAGCAAAACAGAGAACCTAAACTGAAAAGAAAAGAGAAAGGTCATCATAGTTTTTCCAATTATTTTGTTAACTAGCTTCTCATCTGTGAGGGCCAGCATGTCAATGTTTTGTCACTACATAATTTCCTACAAAGCAGGGGGGAGGGGGGTTAAAGCGCAAGAGTGGGTGCTCAGTTACCCCTTCCCCAGCCGCCTTTTTCTGGTTGAAACTGCTTTTCCCAAGTTGTGCATTTCCCTCCTTATGGTATAGATTAGCTCACTGAGAGAAAAACAGCTGGGATTGGGGGGAAGAAATTCTGAGGAGGATCAGTAGCCCCCCTCCATCCCTGGGTTCTGTGCTTTATATTTATTTTCCCCTCCCTCTGTTTCAGAGGAACCTGGCAGCAACCCATGGCTGCTGCCATCACGTCTACTGTAGCTTGGCCCTTCCTTGCTAGCGGCGGCTCGTGCCTTTTCTGTGCTGCTGATTACTTCAAGATGTTAAACTTTTGCTAGGGCCAAAGGAGAGAAGCAGAAACTCAATACATTGCCAGTAGTACAGCTTGGAATATATACTGAATTTAGCATTTTTCAAAAGTTAAAAGGAAGAATGTACTAGTTTCCTTTCCCCATTTTTATTTGTTTGCTTTTGAAACCCACTTTGTAAGGCCCTACGGCCTTGATATTCCCTCTGTTTTTAGAGAGAAAGGTGTGTTAATCCATTGCAGCAATTATAACAAAAGAGTCTTGGAACCCCTAAAAGACTAATAAATTTATTACTAAATGGAGTGTCAAGGATACCTAACCTAATGCTAATCTATCAAAATTATAGAAAATCTTTCCCATCTAAAAATAAACATTTCAGATCCTATCAAAGTTCAGATCAGCGTTAAATTATATGTACCATTAATAAACATGTGATTATGTCTCTCACTCTCCCCTCCTCTGCTCCTCCTCCCCCCCCCCCCCTCCCCCCCATTTTACAGAAAATTAAGCATTGGGGATTTCATGCAGATTGGGTCTTTAATGTGAAAGCTGAGAGAGGGCTTTTAACCATTTACTCCCTGCTGGGTTTTCATTCCTGATTTATAATTTAGATTTGAAAAACCTCAAGTCGTCTTCAGGGGACCTTTTAGAAAGAGGACTGTTAGACCTCAAGAATTAGGTTCAGGACAGCATTGATTTGTATAATGAGTCCCATTTGAATCATTTTATAGTTCTCTGGAAAACTTTTTTTAAGATGATAGCTAAACTCCAGATCATTTATAGGGCCAGGGTTGTAGCTCAGTGGAGAGGCACATGCTTTTTATGATATCATGCGTTAGGAAGTATTATTATCCAGACTTCTTGTTTGGACTCTTTCAAAAAGTCTTTCTTTTTAATTACAAAGACCATTGCATGCTTCAGTTATGCCTCTTCTGAATTTCACAAGTACAGTATTAAATGTTCTGTAGAATTTCATATTAAAAACTTGTTTCATAAATTCTAGAGAATTTAGAATACCATATAGCTCTTTAGAAAGGTAATCTTTTACTCAGGTTATTGGAGGAACAGTAGAGGGAATCTGAATAAAGCTTATTAAGTCCCACCAGTAACTCCCCACAATTTTACATCCAAGACTATGAAAATAATTGTTGAGATTCAAGGGTTCTTTCCAATGCATAGTCTTTCAGCTGATGGTAAAATGCCCACACACAAACCTGCATACAGGAGGAGGATTTTAAAAACCTTGGGAAATACAGTGAACATTTTAGTGTTCATTTCTATAACAAGCTCAAGGGGATACAAAGATTTAAGCTTGGTGATATCAGGAGCTTGCACTTCACGGTTAGTGCTGTCTGCAGTCTTCTGCAATCACAGCCTCAAGATCATCAGGACGCTTATCCTCCTCCCCCAGCAGCCCAACTTTTGGCTGTGCCAGCTGGAAACGATGGGCAATACAAGGCACCAGGTGGTCACAGTTCCCCCAATTCATATTCTTTCTCTCTCTCCCTCCCCCTCTCCCTCCCCCCAGATGGCTTGGACTCCATGTCGGACTTTTGGATGCCACTTCCCTTTATTGGATCAGGCCCCGCGATCCCTGTGCAGGAATCCCACCCCCCAGCCCTTTCCTCCCCCATCTGCTCTCAGCCACAGGCCCGTCCTACTCCGCGTAACCCACCTCTCGCCACCAGCACCGAGCTGGAGGCGGGGCTTCCTCCTTGGCTCCGCCTCCCCGTGAGTTGCCCGAGAACTTTTGTTTTGGGCCGGCGATCTGGCCGGAGGGAAGTTTCGTGGCGGCGGCTCGGCGCCCGGGCACTGCTTGCCCTGGCGGCACCAAGACGACCGCGGCTCTGGGGGTCGGCCGGTGAGAAAGAAGAGGGGAGCCCCAGAGTGCACGGATCCGACTCTGAAGAGCTCTGTCTCGCCGCTATGGAAGGGGCTCGGGGGCTGCTGCTGTTACTGCTGCTGATGTCGGCCTCCTCCGCCGAAGGTAAGGCGTCCCTGCCGCCTGCTTGGCTCCCGCAGGCGGGGCGGGAGCAATTCTTCGGTTCCCCCCGGGCGGAGGTGGCGGAGGGACAACCTGATCTCTCGGCTCTCCGGCTCCCGCCTCTCAGCACAGGTGGCAGAAAGGCGCTGTGCCTCATCGGGGGCGATCCTAAACTTCGGGGGCCTCCCAAGAGACTGGCCGAAGCGGGGGTGGAGGGCTGGTGGGTCGCGAACCTGCCACCTGCAATTGTATAAGCAGCAAGGCTACTAGCTGGTCTCCCCCGAGGAAGTGCGTCTTCTCTCTCCGTAGAGGCTGGTGGACAGAGTACAGCCCTTCAAGGCAGGATTTTCAAAAACACCTGCATTGAACGCTGTTCTCCGTTTCCCACATACCGAGTATTCCTGGCTAGTTTCTGTCGCGGGGGCAGGACTCTGCCAGAGCCAGAAAGTAAGACGTGGGTTTCTTTTGAACGCACCGAGTTCTCAAATGTTTCCTAGTACGCGGCGCAAAGTCCAAACGCAGACCTCCTGTGGAGGGGCGCGATATGCTTCAGGGGATACCCGGGGAGACAGCTGCCTGCCTGGCGCCTTTTTTCCTTCCTCATTCAGGACGAGGCTCTAATCTTCAGGCTGCACTACTCTGCGAGGCGGTATGGAGTCCAGCGGGGAGCTGGGAAGTTGCGCCCTCGGTGAGGTTGCAGAGAGGAAACTGACATCTACAGAATAAGCCCCTCTGCTCTGCAGCCTGTCCCAATGGATAGGACTGAAGCTGGTTACTTATTTCTTCCACTTCCTTATTCGTGTGAATGTCCAAAAGACAGCTGAATCAGTAAAGGATAGTGGTTGATTGGCTGTTTATACCTATTTTGAGTGAGACAAACTTGTGCTGCGATAAGCCGAGTTCTGTGTTTAGAGCATCATTTAGTCAGGGTGAGATGTGTACAAAGATATTTTTATTATATTCAATTATCTTCCATGAAGGGCAGAATGTCCTAATTACAGAGATATGATTTAGATTAGTTTTATGATTAATTTTAGGTTTTACACACAAATACATTCTATAGACTGGGTTTATATTGATTTTACTGGCTAGCTGTTCTTATGAAAATAAAGAACTGGGATTAAGTTACCAACTTCAGCCTTTTTTTCCCAATGGACAGTGTGTCCCACAATACACTTTTATGTGGTGTGATGTGTTAAATGGTGTATAATGTGAGAACTCCAGTTTTAAATCCTGGTTAATCCATAAACCTCATAAGGTTATCTCCTCTCAGCTTTACCTACCTCACAGAATTATTCTCACAAAGCTTTGTTCTCAATTTCTTGGATTCAAATGTGATGAACTAGAATGGTAAAACATACAAAGAAATGTAGGTTTGGTGTACATAAACCAAACCAACATTTAACAATATATGTATGCAAGAAGGCTGAGATCCAGTACTGTGTTGTTGTAGCATATTTTAATTTATTCATTTTACCGTAAACTGCCCAGAGTTGCTCTGCAGTGAGATGGGCGGTGGCAAATTTAAAATATAAATAAATAAATATAAATAGATAAATAAATGTGAGCTGGTAATATGTTTCTTCCCATATCTGAATAAAAATGTGCCAAAGAAAAATAGAGCATTAAAAGGCTAATTTAACCTATTCTGGGGATAGCAGGGAGCTATCCCCAGAGACCAAACTAATTTATTCCTTTGGTGCATGCTTAAAAAAATCCTCTGAAACACCAAAACTATTTTTTTTTAATTTATATATCAAATTTGTCACCACGAATCACATTAAAACAACTCTGGGCGGTTTACAAAGTGGTTAAAATCAATTAAAATTACAGTATACAATAATCCTAAATAAATAGAAGATAAATAAATCCAAGGATAGATGTTAAAATTGGCAGTCACTCGGGGAGTGTCATTAAGACGCCAGCCACCCCCAGGATTGGGTAAGATTCTTGTCACCCCACACAAGCTAGCAGAGCCAGATATTTAATCCTTTCCGGAAAGCTGGAAGGGTAGGGGTCTACCTCACTTCTCGGGGGAGAATATTCCAAAGGGTGAGACAACTATCATATTACACTCTGGATATGTGCTTTTGGAAGTTTTGGGGCAAAGCTGGAACATGTGCTTCTTCATAATCTTTAGTTTTTTCCAAATCATAGTAATCCATAGTTCCCATGCAGTTAGTTGTCTTCTTCACAAAGGGTAGATTTGCCAGAAATGTTTTGTCCATTCATCCTCCCTAAAGGGAAACTGCCTGCTAGTTCTCCTCTGAAGACATCTTCAACCAATGTCTGTCTCCCTTTAAAGTAGAGTCACACAATCTATCTTCTCCAGATATTTTTGACTATATCTTCAATCATTCCTGACCATTAGCCATGCTAGCTGAACTGATTAGAGTGGGGGCCCAGAACTATGTGGAGGTTCGTGACTTGCCCATCTTTGATAAAATGTGCTTATTCTGCTGCTGTTGCTTCAGAAAAGGAGAACAGCTTCCCCCTTTTAACTAGAATATTCCATCTACTCCTGTTTCTAAGAAAAACTTTTCAAGATTTTCTGTCTTGTCAATTTCTGTTGCAACTCCATAAGGAAGATAAACTATTACCAGTTTTGTCAGTTTCACCTCCTTTTCTTTTTGTTCTGAAACTGTCAGCAATAGTGTTATGCCAGTTTCATTTTTCTTTAAATCAAAAGTGGTAAAAATGCAATGGCACTGAAAAGAAGCAGGCTATATATAGATACCTTTTTTAATTTGAATAAGGTGACGTGATAAAGTTTCCTCTTCATCTGTCCCATCAATTTCACCTTCTTTTTCTTTGAAACTCTAAAGGAACCCCTCCATTTCCAAAAATGGACTCTCCCAAATCCAGAAGGTAGCCTTGGAGTAGGGCAAAATAGTAATGGAGATAGGTGGGATTAGTTTATGCGCTATGCATGCAGTTAATCTCACTTATTATTGAATGAGTCACATGTCATATCTCCAAAACAAGATGAAATATTAACTATACTCCAGAACTCAACTGAAAGTACAGTCAAGTTGTGACAGAAACTTTTAAAATCTCTACCAACAGTTTCTTAAAAAATAAGATACCTGGGGCAAATTCTGGGAATACAACAGTTCAGAAGATCATGGATTCTGAGGAATAAATAAGTGAAGAAATGCAATTAATGCCAAAGGAAAAGGCTAGTGTAGACACCCCTCTCTAGCACCTATCTGGCTTCTCTGCGTTCTGGTAACGTAGATTATGGAAAGTTCAATTAACTGTTTTTATGGATGAAGTTTGCAAATATTCAGGGATTAATTAATCACAATGTTTGTGTTTAAAACAGTGAGTTAAAGATTTCTATAGATTCTATAGAATATAGACATGTGATTGGATTTGCAAAATAAACCAATGCAGAAATCTTAAGGTTTTTTAAATGCTATTTTTTTTCAGACCAGTGGGAATATGAAATCTGTGTGTCCCTGTCACAAATGCAAAAACAGTTCTAGTTTGGGGAAAAGAAACTCTGGCTATTCATTAGACAAGCAGCCATTAATAAACTCTTTCTGAAAGTAGTCTCTGGATTATTTAGCAGCTCTTTCTATATCAAAAAGGATTGTTAAACAGAAAAGGCTCTGAATACCTTGATCCAGTGTTTCTCAACCTCAGCAACTTTAAGACGTGTGGACTTCGACTCCCAGAATTCCCTAGCCAGTCATACTGGCTGGGGAATTCTGGGAGTTGAAGTCCACACGTCTTAAAATTGCTGAGATTGAGAAACACTGCCTTAATCAAAGGTCCAAAAAGATAAGCTAATAGCTAAATAGAACTGTGGAAAGAGATAAATTAACAAACAAAATGGTCATGTTGACCATTTATTGAGCAAAATTAGAGCTATAGAAATCAGGATCCACTTCATACTTAAAAAAAAACAAAACCTTTCTGCTGCCCCTCCCCTAGTTACAAAAAGGTTGCCCGGACCTACATTAACACACAGAAGTTAAAGTTCCCAGAAGCCACGTTTTACACCTGCCCTCACAGTCACTAGGTCTTTGGTACTGGATGTAATCTTACTGTATAGATCCAACCCTGCTATTGTTTTTAATCAGGATTGTAAAGGGATCAGGAGATGGAAAGTGTGAGTGGGATTAGATCAACTTCCCCATTCCTAACTTCTCTTAATTCAATAAGGTGCACATAAAATGTGGCTCTACATGCATGATTAGGCACACTACCTTTGCAGGATTCCTGATCACATAGATGTGATCTCTGCACATTCCATTTGTTCAGCCTCAGCCTTCACATCTTCTTAGGAATGAGCAGAGACAATTAATGAGTTCCCCTTTTTATTTTAATAGTGTATGTGTAAAAAACTCAATAGAACAATAAAACTGTACATTAGTTTTGGTGCCTTTCATTCAACATTCACATATGATTTTCTTTTGGCTGTTTAATGATTGCTGTTTTTGGTTTGTTAGAAATGGTGACTCTTCTGTCAAAACATATTTCTGTGTTGGTGTGTGTATGTGCTTTCGAGTCAGCCTTGACTCCTGGCGGCTGCCTGGACAAGTCCCTGCAGGTTTCTTGGCAAGATTTCAAAAGTGGCTTGCCATTGCCTGCTTCCTAGGGCTGAGAGAAAGAGAGTGCCTCAAGGTCACCAAGCTGGTTTGTGCTTTAGGTGGGACTAGAACTCATGGTCTCCTGCTTTCTAGCCTGATGCCTTAACCACTACACCAAACTGGCTCATTTCTTTGTTGGACCCCAGGCTGCTCAGTAATAATTTTTCAGATCAGAAAATGATCAGGAAAAACAATACAGAAAAAAGAATACTTACAAAACTATTGTAAAAGAGTTTTTATAAAGAACTGTTATAAAAGGTATTGTTAAGAATCTAGCACACATATGGAGAGCCAAAACTATTTGGCTGAAATATGGTGAGGGCAATAAGAAACTTTGAAGAGAATATGGGCGGCAATGTTTTCTGAAATTAAACACAAAACAAAACACATTGATAAAATCATAACTCTTAATTTACAGGTCTTGCTAGTGGAAAACAAGAAGCAAAGAAATCTGGCTTGTCAACATCTACAAAGTCATATTCACATGTGATGGACTCAGTAGGTATGCAACAGGTAGCCCAGTCCTTCCTGGCCCAGTTAAATTATACTTCTCCAGTCAGTGCATTTTCACCTCCCACGGATTCCAGTCTTGTAAAGATCAATAAGCTCACCTCATCAGAAGATCACGCAGATCACTTTCTCCAGTCAATTAAATTTAATCCTACAGTAGGAACTATACTAAGCGCTGAACATATGGACATCAGATTTAATTGCTCTATCAACGTTCCCAAGTCACTGGTCAACCAAGACTTCCCACTTATTTCCTTGTGGAAGAATGGGAAGGAAATTTTTGATACTGGCAAGATAGCCATCCACTCTTACCAGTTTGATTACAATGAAGTAACCACTATGAAATCTGCTTTCAGGTAATTAATGTTTATTCCCTTTAATTTTGATATTTAAAACTTTCTGGAGTTAAGAATATATGGAATGTTAGAATCCTAAGATTACAGATCATTTTCACATTATTTATTTATTTGTTTGCTTGTTTAGTCTCCCCTGGGGGACAGTTTTTCATAACCTGTTGCCTTCCATCTTCTGCCTTTTGTAATCATGAGTCTTCTTCAATGATCCTAAAATCAACTTACGTAGTGCCCTCCAGATACAGTGAGACTATCACACACTTGCTGGCTAGGGATTCTGGGAGTTCAAATACAACACATCTGGAAGGCACCACATTTGATAAATCTAATTTTAGGACTATTGTAAAAGGTTCAAAGATGAAACAAAATAGGAACAATAAGTGAGTTGCTTCATTCTCTCCTTTTCCTGGATTGTGGAACATTTATTTCACTGAACACCCATGAGACAAGATTAAAGAGATTCAGAAGCTACAACAAAGCAGAAAGTGTTCTCTTTCTAAAATATATCTGTACATTATGTGATGAATGTAGTTATTGTATTTGCAAAGAAAAGATTATCTAGAAATGTATTCAGAGAGCTTCTAACCAAACCCAGCATACATTACTTTGAGTTTGGATTGAGTGAGCAGATGTGGGAATGACCTTGGGAAATAGGAGGAAGAGCCATAGCCTAGACAATGGTCTGGTAAATGAAATTTGAGTCTGAAGGAAGAGGAGTAGCAAAAGTGTCTCAGAAGGGACTCTCCCTAGTTTTCAGGAGAGTAAAAGTGAGGGATGGGAGGGGTACTTTCAGACTTGCAAGATTCTGTTAATGTAACCTTACAATAATGATAGAGCTAGTGCTCCTGGGTGTGCTTCTTGTCTGGACTACCTCACAAGGCTAACACCCCTCCCCTATCACTCACACATCTTTTCCTTCTTCATATACCAAGCAAAATGAAATCCCAACCCATAGAGGTAATCTGGCTTGTTACTTCGTCGAGCCCAGGGGGACTTTCTGAAGACCACATCTTTAAAACTCTACCCTGTCCCCAAACCTGCTCCTTTACCACAGCTAATGAGAGCTGCCTTTTCATGTACCCATTTTGGGACTATGAAGAATGAGGATACACCCAGGTATTTCCAGTACTTGGGAACATTTTTAAGTGCTGAGAATGCTCTTTAAAAAGAAAATCCCAGGGTTATTTCCCTTGTGGATTGCCTTCCTATCCTATTTATTTTTAATGAACCTTAAAATACTGCAACATTTATTTCAATATGAATAAGGAATTCCAGAGCCTTGGCTAAGTGACAGAGTGAACATTGATGGCCTTATAAGTCTTTTTTCTTTTCTCCCACAGAATAACCAATGCTCAGCGTTCTGATAATGGGTCTTATAGCTGTAAACTGAAAGTTAAGAATAATGAAATTGAATCAGATCCTATTTTGGTTTTGTTAGAAGGTAAGTTTAAATTTGAAATAAATACTTGCTGGCTAAAGTGTGGGGTGATTTTGCAGAATAATATGACAGTGATAATTCCTAGAGAACTGGAGCTACTGGAGAAATGGATTACACTAAGACTGGGAAATTATTTATAGAATAAGTAAGGAGGTACATGGTTGAGGTGTTTCTCATCATGTTGATTCCTTGAAGTTGTTGAAGGAAATCTTTCTTTCTCTCTCCCTTTCAATCAACTTCTAGAAATAAGTGGGAAATTGAGTCCCCCCCCCGCCCTCCCCCACACACTTGGTACTTACTACAACTTCCAGCATCCCTCATTTTAGCCCCTGCTGTCTAGAGAACTGTAATTCAGTAACACCTGGGAAAAACCTGGGCTTTCCTTTCTCACATCAGGTCTAGGGGGGGAAAAACAGGCAGGCACTATTGTTTTTAAATGCAAGATAGTAGCACTGTCTACGTTCCCATATTCTCCTTTGCCAGGGAAGAGATGTCTTAGAAGTATGGTGGTGTTACCTGAATGATGCTTTGGTTTTCCCTGTAGCCTTTTTTACTGTCTCTTAGACAATATCGTTGCTTACATACTGGCCAAGAGAATGGAGATCAGTCTCTTCCCACTTCAGTGAGCAAGTAGTTAATACATTCGGTGTGATAGTTTGGATTATTCAGAGTACACTTCAGGCTCTCTTCTGATACAAACTTGGAAATCACTGGTTTGTTAGCTTAAAGTAACTTACCTCAGGCTGCAGGTGTGTTTACTGGCTGGGAATACTGGGAATTGTAGTTCCTAATGCACCAGTTTGAAGCTGTTGGAGAGCCTCAAACTGGACATCAGGGTATGGCATTTGATGATTTGCTCCCAATGGGGGGCAGGAAGATTTACCACCAATCCACGAACTTCCCACTTCAGATCTGCTATTGTAAGAAGCCGAGAGCTAGTACTTGATGCCTGATCCATGAGACTGTTGCCTTGAACCACAAGGCACCTGACTGTGACACATTTGGACTGAGTCAAAAAGGCTTTTGGGAATCACTGTGGCCCTGTTCCTTAATGCACAGTTTCCCATGTAAGTAGACTGGATTTAAGAGAACCCCCATGGCATGAAAACAGAATAGAGTATGGACTGCAATGTGAGCCAGAACAGCACCATGTAGAAAGAGCAGGTTAAAGGAGATCCTTGACAGACCATCAGATTGATCTTTATAATCACTTATGTTATCTATTAATTAAATAATTAAAAAGGCAAGGAGGAGATGGTCTAAAGTCATGCACAGCTTTCAGGTTTTGTACAGGATAAGTCCTATTTCAAATAGCTGTGGAAAGAAGGAATGCGAAAAGCAAGGGTGAAAGGGAAAGATATAAGCAAC